AGTGCGGCAACTTCGGGGTGCGCAAGAGCCTCATCATCCACCACCGCAGCCACACCAAGGAGCGGCCCTACGAGTGCGCCGAGTGCGAGAAGAGCTTCAACTGCCACTCGGGCCTCATCCGGCACCAGATGACGCACCGCGGTGAGCGGCCCTACAAGTGCTCCGAGTGCGAGAAGACCTACAGCCGCAAGGAGCACCTGCAGAACCACCAGCGGCTGCACACGGGCGAGCGGCCCTTCCAGTGCGCGCTGTGCGGAAAGAGCTTCATCCGCAAGCAGAACCTGCTCAAGCACCAGCGCATCCACACGGGCGAGCGGCCCTACACGTGCGGCGAGTGCGGCAAGAGCTTCCGCTACAAGGAGTCGCTCAAGGACCACCTGCGCGTGCACAGCGGGGGCCCTGGCCTGGGCGCCCCGCGGCCCCTGCAGGCGCCGCCGGACCGAGACTAGGGCTGGGCTGGGGGAGGGACGGCAAGGGCCTGGGGGCGGCCTGACGACCCTCGATCCTGCTGTGGCTCCCAGTGCGCCTTCCCTCCCTCCACCTGGCACCCGCTGGAAATCGGGAACAGGAATTACACTCTAAACAGGGTCCCCAAGAGTTGGACAGGGGTCCCCTAGACCTGTCCAGCCTGAATGGACGGCCCAGCTCATCTCCTAGGTGGATCAAGGGGCCGGCTGAGCGGCTTCCCGCAGGGAAGGTGCCGGAGGGACAGTGAGGAGGCCAGAGGCTTCCCGCCCGCCCGCAGACACCTGGAGTGCCCATTTGGCCACTCGGGTCACAGATTGTGATCAAGGGAAGCAGCCAGGGAGTCTCGGAAGCCCGAGATCAGGAAATCAGGTCCCAAGGCTGAGACGCTGCAAGAGGAAGCAAAGGTGTGACCGAGCTGAGGGATGTGCTAAGGGATGCCACCTCCATGACGACAACACTGCCTCGCGTTTGAATAGCGCTTTATACTTTTTTAAACGTGTTTTCTATCCGTTATCTATTTTCACCCTTAGCCTATCCCTCTGTGGTAGGTGGGGGTAGGGTTTGCCTGACTCGGTAACCAAGGAAAGGAGGTGCAGGCCGGATGGTTTAGCCCAGATTACAGAAGAGCGGCAGAGCTGGGACCAGGGCTCCTGACCCAGCGCAGTGTCCCCACCACACACACTGCCTACCTCCCGTGTTTGAGAGACAGACCTCTCTGGCCTTGCCTCTCCTGGTCTCTCTCCCTTGCCCCTGACCCACCAAAAGTAACCAGAAGCCACCGGGACAATTCGTGGGGTTACTGGGGATGGGGAACAGATGGGCGACAGAATGCCTCAGGTTGTGCTTCCGACAGACTCTTCCCATGTGGGCACTTTTGGGGCCCAGGCCCCATCCCCCAGCCCGTCCCTCCCACCTCTAGTCCCTCAACCTGGTGCAACCCATCTTGTTACTACACAGTAGTGACCCGGCCCTCCAGAGGCAGCTGGTGCCCTGGGTCAGAGCTCACCCTGATGATTTATTCCAGTTTCCCCAGAGCCAAAGGGTGAGAGCAAGGCTCATGCTGCAGGGGCCGCCATCGAGGAAGTGAATCTCTTCCCAGGAGGGCCAGGCAGTGGGTGCTAGAGGCCGAGAGCCTCAGTCTCTCTCCTGCCCTGAGCCTCCCAACCGGTGCTATCTGTTAACTGACCATGCTCACGGACATGGACGTGGACACAGACCTCCTCTGCTCCAGACCCTGCAGGCGCCTCAGGAGGCGCCCAGAGGACTCCCTTGTGTTGGTGCAATGCTCCATGGTCCTGAGGGGCCGCCGTCTCCATTTCTGCGTCTTGCATGGCCAGGCACTGGGGTGGGGTGGCATGCCCCAGGACCCTTGTTTGTGTTGAGAATGACTTTTCCTGCGCCGCCCATCCACCCCACTTCTCTCCCATCCGGGAGCACAGTGGGCAGCCTGCTCCTGGCACCACATTTGTGAGCGCTCTGCTTCCTCCCTCACCTGCACCGCTTGGCTTTCCTCAGACCCCTGTTTGCCATGCAAAGGGAATTCTTGAAATTAAATAAAAGGTGTCCAGATTGCAGACTGCATGTTCACAGGGCCGAGGGTTCTGCATTGTGGCTTCAGACAGGAAAGCCTCCATGCGACTGGAACCCAACTGGGATTTTTCTCCATTCTTCTTGGAGGAGGCAAACCTTAAAACTAGTTGAGAAATTAAGCAGACAAATTCAGTGGAGTTTTATTAGAGCAGAAGGGACCCTCTAAAACGGTTTTTTTGTGGGGAGGGAGCAGTGTTCTGCTTTTCAAAGGCATATGCAGAAAATCAAGGTTTTCATAATCTAAATAATTGGAAATGAGACCTTTTTTTGGCTATTAAGAGTACAAAGATAGGGAGAGATCACTATTGAGTGATCAATATACTCAAGTGTATATTTTGCCCTCAAGGAGCTGATTCCCAAAGAGGTTTCGTGACTAAATTAGGGGGCAGAAAGTTAGTATTTGGTTCCTTCATCCTAGTCTGGTAGCTCCTGGGGCACCAAGAGCCCCTCAGCTAGGAGTCACCCCTGCCTCCAACGCTGGCCCCAGGAGAGTCCGATAGTGAGCTCTGCCCCCGCGCTATCCAAGGTGATGCCACTCAAGATGGACCCTGCCATCCACTTTCTGAAGGGCCTGCTCTGGGTGGATTTTTATTCTCCATCTGATAGTGTGTTAATTAAAATTAACTTTTAATTTAAAAACTAATGTGCACAGTAAAAATTCAAGTGGTTAAAAAAAAGACAGTCCTCACTCGAGCATATATTTTTATCGCTTTTTAGAGAGCGGAAGGGAGAGGAACATCAATCATTTTCCTGCCTGATCCCCTGTTGAAAAGCATCCACAGCTAAGAGCTTTTTTTTTTTTTTAATATATTTTTATTGATTTCAGGGAACGGAGAGATAGAAACATGAAAGATGAGAGAGAATCATTGATTGGCTGCCTCCTGCATGCCACTCACTAGGGTTGGGGCCCACAATCTGGACATGTGCCCTGACCAGGAATGGAACTGTGACCTCCTGGTTCATAGGTCAATGCTCAACCACAACCACACTGGCTGGGCAAGAGCTTTTTAAAAATATCTTCACCCAAAGATGTTTTCATTTCTTTCTTTCTTTCTTTCTTTTTTTTTTGGAGAGAGAGGATGAGAAACATCAACTGCTTGCTTCCTGTACCTGCGCTGACCAGGGATCGAACCCACGACCCTCTGATGTACAGGATGACGCTCCAAACAACTGAGCCACCTGGCTAAGCTACTAAGAGCTTCTTGTATGTCCTTCCAGAACTGGAGAAGTCCCCAACGGGAATGAGGTGACAGGCCCAGAGGAATGGAGAAGTGCTAAGCTGACAAAATTGTCAGATGTCCTCTGCACACGTACACAGCAGGCTGGTGGAGCTTGAGCCAAGCGTATTCTGCTAGGATTCTCACTGACCTCCAGCCTAGTGAGCATGCTCCCCAGCACTGTTTTTGTTTTAGAGAGAAGGTACACAAAGGATATGGTGCCTGCCACGTAGAGACTAGGATAGTAAGGGGAACAGAATAGAAAGGGTCTCTACTAAGTGGAATAAAGCTGTGGCCTGTAAACTTTCTTGGATAAAAAGTGTTTGGGCATATATATGCTAATACATATACTATAAGTCACACTTGCAATAGAAAATTTAAAGGTCAAGGTAAATATTTTAAAGCATTTTAAACTATTATTTGTAATTCAAAGAATATTTCTGTCACTAAAAATGGGGGTGTGAGTGAGATATTCAAGGCCACATTCAGCTCTGGGTGTGTGTTATGTATTTATTGATTTCTAGAGAAAAACATCGATTTGTTGTTCCACTTATTTATCCATTCATTGGTTGATTCTTGTATGTGCTCTCATCAGGGATCAAACCCACAACCTTGGGGTATCAGGAGGGCACTTTAACCAGTGAGCTACCCGCCCAGGGTCTCTGCATGTTTCAATCATTCTATAGATGACAGGATATGAGTATACTGATTTCTCTGATAACATTACCACCAATGGGAATAATTGTGAACCTAATTTTAAAGTTTGACAGTTGCTCTTTGAGCCTGCCTGCTCTCGCTCTCCTGAGAGTGTACTTTCACTTTAATAAATCTTGCCACTGCCGCTTGAACTCCTAAAAAAAAGTTTATTCAAAGGCATGTGTCAAGATCTGTGTGTCATTGGGAAAGGACAAATGGGTGGCTTCTCAGAGTCAGCAAGGAGACATTTATCTTGGTGAATTCTAGCACCTTGACAAAGCAAAGACAAAACAAAATGAGAAGTTGCCTGTTATTGAGTGCTTACTCTATACCAGGCCTTCAGCTACATAAGCATTTTACTTACACAATGTCATTTATTTTAACCCCATTAAAAACCCTTGGATATGGTTTTCATATCCTCATGGAGAAGACACTGAGGCAGAGTGAGCATGAACCACACCACTTGGTGAGTGAAGGAGCCAGGACACGCATAATAGCAATCGTGAGCGCATCCTGAGCTCTTACTTTGACAGGTTGCACTGTAAGCATCTGACTTGAACTAACTCATTTATTCTGCACAACAGCTCTCAGATGCGTGCTATTATTTCCTACTAATAATGAGGAATTGGAGGTGCCAAGAAGTTAATGACTTGCCCAAAGTCCACATGTAGTAAGTGGGGGTGCTGGTCTCACTCGTTGGCCCCACTTTCTAACTCCCTGCACTACCATCTCCAAAAGCCCATGACACTGCAAAATAGTGCCTGGTGCTTCCTCCCTTGCACACTGGAAATTTGATCTAAATATTCTTCCAGAGTTCCAGGCTCAGTCAGGGATGCTGAATCATGCTGACTCTCAAGAGACTGACTGATGGATAAGCCAGAGTATCAGTTTAATAATTTCCAAGGGTGCATCAGCCTGACCTGCCTGTTGTCTCCCAATACACACGGACCTGCATCAGCATAAGGTTGCCTGGTGGACATAGAAACGGAATGGAGTTTGAGTTCTATACCTGGATCGCTTAATGACCTCAGTATTCTATGTCCTGATATGTCCATCTCCACAATCTCTGCACATTTTCTGTATCTGCAGTAAGTTTTTGTTGGCCAGAGAGAGTAGATCAAACCCTGGATATATCTCAATGGCTGACTAGTTTCCTCCACATGGCCCCTTCTTTAAATAGATCAATGATTCAATCAGTCTGTCAAAGTGGTTGCCCTGGACATCATGCCTTCTCTTGGGGGTGACTTTTCCTAGCCTTGCTCTCTGATTTGCTATTAAATCACCCAAAAATATTTATGAGCACGTCTATGAGCAAATAGAAGTACCGAGGAGGGAGAGACATTTTAGTGAATTACCATATAAACAAATGAAAAAAAATGAGGTGATTTTGGATTGTGATAAATGCTATGATCAATGTTTGGAGGAAGATAACTAGACTGAGGATTGGGAAAGAGGAAGATATAGGGAATGTCTCTCTGAAGAGGTGAAGTCTGACCCGAGCCCTGCATGCCAAGAAGGACTTGGCCATGTGAACATAGAGTTTAGTTCTCAGGGGAAGCATTTCATGTCTATCATTGGAAGTGGAAGTTCATTGCAAGTCTCTGCAGAGACAATGTGGCACAAATTAGGCAAATATGGCTGCAAAACTCCACACGCATCATTTCACATGCAGCATGTGCACTGGATTACATATTTGATATCAGGGCTAGCTTGGGGTTTCCAAGGCATGTGATTACTATAATGAATAGGCTACGGTGGGTTGGCCTTGGCACCTGACCCCACCTTGTTGAGATGGGAAGTGTGCTTCTAGCTGCTAAAAAGCAAAATTTTGGGATACAACCGCTTGCCATTTGGGACCATAGCTCTTTTCCCCAACTAGATTACATGTTCTTCTCTCAGAACAAAGTCTGAGTTTTATACATTTTGGAATATCGCAAAGCACCTAGCAGAGTTCTGGGCACGTAAAATAAGAAAAACCAAGTCCGCTGGGTTTGCCTTAACTTTGGAACCTGCACTTGACTTGGAGGGACCAAGTCCTCCGCGCGGAGCTGCTCTTCGCCCTCCGGCCGCGCGGGGGCGCAATGGGAATCCCGCGCGCCGAGCACGAGCGGCTGGAGCCG